TTATTTTGTAGCTCTAGTAGGTTTAGTACCTGAGTATATTTTTTCTTTAAAGTTTAAACTTAGGGGCCAATCACAATTGAAAACATAATGTATTAAAAGAGTACTCTTTTTTGCCACATCAACCCCTTTAAAAAGTGTACATACAGTACATGGACAATGTTGATTTTGCAATACCGTTCTCTATGGCCTTTTTTTCAATGGGTACATAAATACATAATTAGGTTTAAATATATCCATATTGGCATGTTATTAAATTTAGAAAACCGATTTCAATCAATATTTAAGCTTTTGTAAATTCCTTTCATTTAATTTTGTATTTAGTATTAGGCCTTTTCCCCCCTTAGCATACTGTTTATACATTTGTTGATAATTATGTACGGTCCATACAGTGCAGGGTTATCCACCTTATGTTTTGAAATTTCTTTTTTGAGTCTTTCACATCTATTAAATTTGTGTAAAGTTAAATCTAATACTGTACTGTAATAGTAAAAAAATATGTAAAACTTTTTCTTTCATCTACCCTTATCAATATCGCTTACAGTACTTTGATGTTATTTAATATATTTATAATATATATAGGCTTGCTGCAATTTACTGTAAATACAACTATTATATAAAATTATTTTTATAAATCTTTATATGTTTGCACAATACCACTAGTGCTACATCGTGTGACTTCATAATGCTAGTAAAATTCAATGCAGTTTTTTCTTTTAAGATATTGAGTCCAGTTTTTTTTTCTACTATTAGATGATGCAATGCAAACATTTTAGTTTGGTTGTTTGAACTGTTATATATATATGTTTAATATGTGTTAAATAAAGATCTTGAGAATGAATACATTTTGTTGGGATTTCTGTACAGTGGGTTCAAACATTTCATGTTTCCTGCAGTGCCATGAACTACCAAAACACATTTGTACATTACAATCATCTTGTAGGCCTATGATTTTTTATTTTTACACTTTATTTTTTGATTCGTGAAAACAATTTTTTAGTGATCGAACAATACAGTTTTCTATAAAAAAAAAAAAAATATATCAACTTTATTTTCTAGAAAAGTACTGTGAATTTCTATGAAAATTAATTTTATTAGTGTTATTTTCTATAGAAATGCTGTTTTTTTCCTATAGAAAATATAATATATCAGCATTATTTCTATAGAAATTCATTACATTTCTAAAGAGAATAATACAGTTTTCCATAGAAAATATATTATATTGGTGTTATTTTCTATAGAAATGCTGTTTTTTTCCATAGAGATTTATATAGTTTTCTATAGAAAAAATCATATCTGCAATAATTTCTATAGAAATGCTGTTCTTTTCTATAGAAGTATTGTGAATTTCCATAGAAAATATTAGTTTTCTATAGAAAATAAATTATAACAGCGTTACTTTCTATAGAAATGCTGTTTCTTTTCTATAGAAGTATTGTGAATTTCTATAGAAAATAATAGTTTTCTATAGAAAAGAAATTATAACAGCGTTACTTTCTATAGAAATGCTGTTATTTTCCATAGAGATTTACATAGTTTTCTATAGAAAAAATTATATATCTGCAATAATTTCTATAGAAACGCTGTTCTTTTCTATAGAAGTATTGTCAATTTCTACAGAAAATAATAGTTTTCTATAGAAAAGAAATTATAACAGCTTTACTCTCTATAGAAACACTTGTTATTTTCTATAGAAATGCTGTTAATTTCTATAGATTCTTATAGAGAATTAAGCCACTTTTCTTTAGAAATTGTATAGAAATCCTTTAGAAATTGTATAGAAATCCTTTAGAAATTGTATAGAAATCCTTTAGAAATTGTATAGAAATTCTTTAGAGATTGTATAGAATGTTTTTATATATTTTCTATAGAATTTGTTTGAAATATTCTATAGAACTTATATAAAATTTTCTATAGATACTCTATAGAATACTATATAGGAAATCTATAGAATTTTTTTTATAGAATTCTATAGAAAATTTTTGTATGGGGTGTACTGCGTTCTTTAACGTGCACATGGGCCATAATGCACACGGGACCAACGGCTTAAACGTCTCATCCGAAAGACGGTGCGCTATTGTAACTTGTATTTCAGCCCTCTAGCTGAAACACAAGGAAAGGCAGCGATAAGAATTGAAATGGGGACCTAGAGATCTCCACGATTCAGCGCACACACGCAGCGGCTACCACCAGATTAGCCAACTGAGCTAAGCTGCTCTCTAGAGACTGAGCTAGCTGCTCTCGAGAGACTATTATTTTCAAATATTTAAGGCACACCACATAACGGCTAATGAACTTTAAAATAATAGTAAATAATAAAAAGGAAAAATTAATAGTATTTGTTGTTATAATTACTACTTCATTATGTTATAAGTAATATACACAATTTTACTATTTATTGTTGTTATTATTATCACATAATTATTATTATACTGTAATGTAATAGGTCTTATTTATTTAATTTATGTATATTAAAAATATGAAAAATTCAAAAAAAAAATATACAGTTCTTACAAATAAGATTGAAATAAATGTGGGTGTGACTCCCACGGAAGAGAAAAATTGTCAGTTCAGATTTCATTCTGTGAGTTATTTGGTTTTGTTTGTAATTTTTTAAATAATATATTTAGGTGTACAACAATTGAGTAAAGGAGATTGCATTAATGTAAAATATATTATAAAATAAATAGATTCAGGATGACCAATTTATCCGAAGTTAAGAATTAGATTCCATTAGGACACAAGTAAAATATAAATAAACAGATTCAAGATTCAAAAATATATTTATTTATAATACATTTTTATAACACATTTCATCAAATATCTACTCACTTCGGGACCGCTCATTTTATTGTCATTGTATGCAGATAAAGTTTTCGATTACTTCCTGAACCCTGTAACCTAACAGCATTGTACTCTATTTATAGGTTATTGACATATACAGTACATATATCAGTGCTGTACTACATTAAACCATTACTGTTACTTTATCAAGATACGCTCTTAGTGTTTATGCTAATTAATATGTCAAACTATGCATGATATCACAATAAAGAAGGTGGCAGGACCGATTAAAAATTTCAAGAAGAAATATTTATATTTTTTTGATTTCCCGAAAGACGTCAACTCTTGTTTTCTCACAATTGTGATTTGTCTCACTAATAATATTCTTAAAAATCAGCAATAGCAACACCGTTAAGCAATGATGATAAGCATACTGATAATAAAGATAAGATTTTTTTTTATTGATTTCACGAATGCCGTACCACGCAAGAAGAAAAAAACAATAATTGTTTTCCAACGGTCTGCTAACTTCTCCAATTACAACAAAGAGCGCAAGTAAACCTGGACAACGTCGGAGGGTTAAAAGTGCCAGCACCAGTAACAGTATAAACCACTATGTTAAAACATGTATTTTGTAATGCAGTATTCATCAATCTTAGTTAAATAAAGTATTTACATTGCAGCGTTCCTAAATCAACTTATTCTCATTATGTAGCATGTCCATTTTGTAGCATGTCCATTTTGTACTTTGTCTAATTATATAGATACCGTGGCCAACACTCTGAAGTACTGAACAGTTTTCAGGATTTACTTCATTCACAGCACAGTTACAATTGAAAGAGGATTAAATGGTCGTGATGAAGAACAAACTATTTTAGCAAAATAACAAAGGTTAATAGTGATATAAATACATTTATTTCTACACGCATATCTCAGTCGTCCCTGTAGTTAACCCACTTTAAACTGATTATTCAATGAAAGAGACTACCATCTATTTAAATTAAACAAGGACCACATTCAATTGAACACAAACTATAGTGAATTCAAAATAGACCATGAATTTAACTGAACATAAAACAATGTACTGTATTAAAAAACACACATTGTACATTACTATGGAGGTACACCTCAATAAAGTTATTAATGAGCCAAATATTAAATTGAACATAGATCGGGTTTTCACTTAGACCATCCAATCAATAAAACATGGTCTACACCATGCTTAACTGAACATGAACCATGTATACAAACACCATGCATTACATTCAACAATGACTACATTTTCAATTGAACATGGAACATATTTGCAATTAAATGCTGATGATATGGCTTGTATAGTGCATTTATTAAATAAAATATAAACAGATGTTTCTATATTTAATTATCAGTCAACAAGAAAATTAACACTAAAAGATTTAATACACTACAAAAGTTATTATCCAGAGAAGCAGACTGACAACTGATGCAATTGTATGATCTAATTCAAGTCATTCTTTGTGAAAACTTAATAAAAAATAAACATACAAAATACTCCTAATATACATATTACCATGGATTTTCAGAAATTCAATAAAATTATTATACAGGAAATATGTATCAAATTCTTTAAAAAATCATTAATAAAATAAAATAGAATATAAAAGGAAAATACAATAATATAAAACAATAATAATTAATGCTTATCTAATAAAGATATAATAAATAACTAAATATCACATAATATACCATTATCATGTTACATATTAATAAATAATGCTATATTACATGTTATATTACCTTCTATACAATTGTAATGCTACACCTATGTAATAACCTTTGACACAAAACACATTTAGATGATTTACTGTTTACAAAATTGTATAATAAATTATTGGGCATTGCTTAATATAATGCTTGCATTTACGAATGCATATATGTGCTACACTGTATAAACACAGAAAACTTTTGAAGTACAATAAAAAAAACTGTTGTATGCCCAT